AAAATTCCTTCCAATTCATGAATCCAATCCAAATTACACGAAATTGAACCATTATAAAGCATAAACAATATCCAGAAACAACATTTTAAGCAATAAAATCAAGTTTTAACCATTAATTCATGCAAATCATGAAGAAATCATGAAAACCCTATCAAACCCCTTTTTCCTCAATCCATCCTTAATCAAGCTTAAATCATGAAATTAATATGATATTTCAAACCCATACATACTAGATTAAGTCTTATAAGTACTACCCTTACCTCAGAAACTTCAGAAATGCAAGATTTGGACAAACCCCCAAATTCCCAATTCAAACTTCAATCTCAATTTTCAAGGCTTTAGAGGCCAAATCTCCTGAAACTCCAGTTGTGAAGATTGATCCTGGCTTGATAAGCTTCCCAAATATGTCCTCAGCTTCCCTCCGGACCAGAGCCTTTCTCTCTCTACTTTCTCTCTCTAAAAACTGTCTCTGTCTGACAAATGAAATCCTCCGGTCCTAAGTCCCTATATATAGCCATTTTTCAAAATTTCCAAATTTCACCCTTAGCACCTATTCACCTCAAATATCCTATTCCTTGAAGTATTTCAACTCCCTAAGCTCTGAAACAACCTCAAATTCACTCAGAAAGACCAGATTTATCTTATGTTCCTATCCTTCGATCTCCTACCCATCTTATTCCTTTCCATGCAATACTCACAACTCACCACCATATGAAATGCAACATGTGTCAACACACAAACAAATATCACTTTCAGATATAGATGCTTGGAATAATGAGTTGCATGCCATAATACTTCACTTAACCAAGATGAGGAGGAAGGTGATCAGTCTTCTTCCCTCTTAATACTGGTTCAGTATAATGGTGTACAATGCATCATTCACCAAATTCATGCACACACATGCCTATACAAACTATCAAAACATCAACCTCTCATCTCATACTATAAAATCACTATCATGCTTAAATAACTAATCAAAATCACATTAACATACAACATGCATAGAAGTAAGTACATTCCAAATCCACATAAATAACATATACATACATACATATATACTAAATAACTTAGTATTTTCCATGGTGTTACAACGCTACCCATTTAACAATCCAAGGTCGTGTTCACCCCTGATATAACACTATGCTAAGGTCACGATTCCCCTGTAGCATATCTAGCCCAAGGTCGTGCTCACCCCGACATGTTATTCAAGGTCACGATACCCACGTAACAATCCAAGGCCATGCTCACCCCTGATATAACATTGTGCCAAGGTCACGTTACCCCTAACCCAAGGCCGTGCTCACCCCTGACATGTTAACCAAGGTCACGATACCCATGTAACAATCTCGGGCCGTACTCAGCCCTGGTCATAGGTGTGAAGAACCACAATCACATCTCATTCACATTACATACAACATCTCATAGTTCAATTCCATACACACATCAGATAAGTCCAAAATAATGGGTTTCATACACCTCAAGCAATTCACATCTAAATCATCAATTTTTATCAAGTAATATAACAATAACATTCATAAATTAATATAATAATCAATGGAATTATCAATTTAATATAATTTTAACATAAACAGTAAACCCCCAATTGTTCCAAAACCTAGCTCACAAGCACTTTTCTGCAATTTCGTTCTCTCTCTCAGATCATCATTCTTACAAATTATTAGCATATTTTTAATCCTCAATACATATACAGTCTAATGGGATCATCAATTTCTCAAACATAAATAATTATAAAATTACTCATAATCTTAAGGGACTCTTCCTCTACCCAATTCTCTCATGTAACTCTACATACAAATGATCCCCTTGGATAAACAGTAGCTGAAACTAAAATAGAGATCTCCTTGGTCTCCTCCTCTGAGTGCCCCTCGGTCTTCAGAGAGTGTAGAAGGAAAATAAGAGAATTTAGAATAAAGGAGATAGAACTGAAAGAAGTTAGAACTGAAAGGTGTGCTTTTTGGGAGTGCCAGAGCTCTCTATTTATATGCATCAAGCGTCGCCAAAATGGCCCATTTCAAATCCGGAACTGCCCGTTTTGGACTCTGACAGAATGTGTAAAATTCACATCTAGAACGACATGTTCTCAAACCAGAACAGCCCGTTCTGGAGTTGCATTTAACCCACAACGTCCGTATTTGGAACGACCCGTTCTTAAACCAGAACGGTCCGTTCTGAAACCAGAACGGGCCATTCCCAACTAGGGTTACAAGCCTTTTTCGTAGTTTGGAACGCCTCGTTCCAATTTGGGAACGCCCCGTTCCCAACTAAGATTTGTAGGAAACTTTAGTATTTTGGAACTGCCCGTTCCAATTTGGAACGGCCCGTTCTGAGATACTAAATCACCCTCGTTTTAGGCAAAATAGCCAGGGTACGAAATAAATAATTAGAAGAGTGGGTCAACCATACCTCCAGCCTTATCACCCTGGACCGTAGAAGGTCATGAGCCGACTGCAGAGAGGAGGCACCGATATCTTGAAACCCTTGCCTGACTGCTTGCAAGGTGTATGGTATGAAATTCAAGACAGAGCCCTTATCTTTAACAGCTCCAACAACTCCCTGAGCAATTTTTAGCTTTGCAGTATCCCCCAAGTACCTTGCATCACTCCCTTTAGTCATGGCTTCTAGGGAACCCATTCCTCTATACTTTTTGACACGTTGACCATTCTGGTGAAGAAAAGGTAGTTATGCATGTTATTACCATATATATTCTTGTTTTAGCATGTATAAGTCATCAGCAGAAGAAAGAGGCAAGAACAAATTAATTAACTAAGAAATAGGAAAGAGAAAAGCACAGAGAGTGTGTGTGCGTGTGAGAGAGAGAGATAAGCATATTTTCATAAATGCAAAAAACTAATTTTGAACTCCTAATCCAATAATTAAATACCCTGAAAGAAGCACAAAACAGAAAAAGATATTTTGTCTAAACATTATCTTTAGAGCTTGTTGAAGCTTTCAACTAGCATCATCACGGAACCAGCAAAAATCAAATCCTAGAATCACAGAATTAGAAAAAAAAAAATAGCTGTGCAACAAGAGTCCTCAAACATTGCACATTGGTAGGAGTAAAAAGTAAATTACCAAATCTTAAAGAAGATGGACTCGTGGACCCAATACAACACATAATCTCATGTCATGGATAATTTCATCGAAGTGAAACAGTTCTTGAAGCATTTAGAAATCACTTGAAGTTAATAGCTTAACAAAATGGAAATATAAGAATGATGAGCAACCATTTCCAAAGTTTTAATCTGTTTACCATTTGCTATTTACCTCCAACCACTGAAGTTTTAAATTCTCATCACAATACTACATATATGCAGCGAATAAACACTGGGTATAAACTTTTAAATGCACAACTAGGAAATCACAATTTTTACAAGAGTCCTTCAAGCCTTTATAATCATACCTGATATACATAAGCCCCAGGAGCCTCAAGGCTACCAGCTAAGAAACTTCCCATCATAACAGTTGACGCACCCAGTGACAAAGCCTTAACAATATGACCAGAGTTCGAGATGCCACCATCAGCAATCACAGGAACACCGTTTTTGTAAGCAATGGATGAGACCTTGTATACAGCAGTCGCCTGAAAAGCAAAAACTCAGTAGTCAATATTAAGAATTGAGGCATCGAGCAAAAGCTGGAATTAATTCGTAAGCAAGAATGAGTGGGGACAGAGCTGATATTCCACATTCCACAACAGTTAAAACTTTAATGAAATACTTAATTATGCATATACTTAAGCTACTAAAAAAGTTATGCATTCAAAAAGTATGAAAAACATCATTATCTAAAGCCAACTGTAACTAATGGTCAAACTTTAGGCACCAAGAATCACTGATCTTAGTCCCTTTATCTGCGTAAAAGAGATTAGATTAAGGAATCTTTAGTTTAAGAATAACAAGATACTACCTTGTTTTTACCTCATTTCCTGTTTTCATACATCTGTTCAATAAACAGTTAAAATACCTTTGGCTTTACAAATATTCCAACACAGAAGACAAAAAGAAAGTCAAAATTCACAGATTCATCAAAAGACCATCACAACCCAAAACCAAACACAGCAAATCAAGGTTTTAAAAAGCAGTTCATGTATCGATGTTTTAAGAGTATCCGCAACAGCAATTACAGTCATATCATATCACCTGTATTTGTCAGCAATTTCATAAAAGGCAACCATGACTATAATTTTAAAAGACAAAACTTAAAAACAATACCTTATGCATGGTTGACATTATTCTTCAATCAGAACTGAAATTTTATCTCGATAATATACATCGACACCTAGTGAAATACTTTTTTAAACAAGATACTCAGATGAAACTTCAATTTTGATTAAAAAACAATACCCGATATATTGTACCTAAATTTTATCAAATTTAACATTGAAGGATAACAAAGATCAAAAGCATCAATGAATAATCAATCAAGCAACAAATGATCCATACCTGACCACGCCCCACAGCACAAACCTCCTGGGTGGTACAAATAGAGCCAGACCCCATTCCAACTCTCAAGCCATCAACCCCAGCCTGAATGAGATTCTCAGCCTGATACATAGTCACAACATTCCCACCAATCACATCAAGATCAGGGTACACCCTCTTGACATACTTGATCATATCCAACTGATAAATTGAGTTGCCTTGAGAACTATCCAACACCACAACATTCACTCCACCCTTCACCAAATGCTCCAACCTCTCCTTATCCTCCTCCCTCGTCCCAATCGCCGCCCCCACCATAAACTCCCCGTCGGCCCCCACCGTCGCCGCCGCCGCCAACTTGGGGTACCCCCTCACCCTCTCCACATCCTCCCTCGCCACAAAATCAACCACCCCACCATCCCTCTCCAAAGCCACCACACCACTCTTCTCACTCTCCATCATCCCACTAATTTTCACCAAGTCGGCGTTCCATTGCGCCCTCCTTGGAGGGGGCGCCATGTAGTCGCCCACTTTCAAGCCCTTGTCGTTTTGATTCCTCCATTCGCGTTTCGCGACGTAACCTAACAGCCTCCCGGCCGAGGTCCCAGTGTCAGTCACCAGAAGGAAGGGGGAGTCGCCGAAGTCGTCGGCGTGCTCCACCACGGCGGAGGGCGCGGCGAAGGGCGGGTCGGAGAGGATGGGGACGCGGCGGGATTTGGCGGCGCGGAGGAGCGCGGCCTGGGCGGCGGCGGGGAGGTTGGAGTGGAGCACGGCGATGCCGCCGAGGGAGGCCATGGCGGCGGCCATGGCGGACTCCGAGACGGTGTCCATGGGCGAGGCGACGAGCGGGACGGCGAGAGGGAGGCGGCGCGTGAGGCGCGTGGAGAGGTCGACGGCGTCGGCGGGGAAGTCGATGTAGTGGGGGAGGAAGATGACGTCATCGTAGGTGTAGGAGAAGCCCTGCGTGAAGAGCTTCTCGGCGGTGAAACCGTCCTCGATCGGCGGCGGAGTGAAGTCCATTGCGGTCGCCGGAGATAGAAACGGAGGGTTCAGTTAGGGTTTTATCTAAAAAAGTAGAATAATAAAAATAATAAATTACTAATAGTGAAGATTTTTGGTTTACTTAATTTACTCGTTTAGGAAAAAATGGTGAAATGTATGAAGCAGTGGAGTGTGAACTGAAGAGGGTGAATGATGGAAGACACCCTTGGATTTTATAGCTGGTGGAGTAGGAGATAAGATAAATAAAATAAATAAATAAATAAATAAAAATAAAAACAAAAATCAAATTTGTTATGGAAAAGATATATAAGATAAAATATTATACAATCATGAAGTACTAATAATCATATATTTGTTGATTTTAACGGTTTCTAGCTTAAAAGTCCTTTAATTGGTTGAAAATATAATATTTGTTATATTGACAATGTCTTTCATTCATTAAAGTTATGCTTTTATTATTGGTTTAAAAAATATTGAACCATTTTTGGGTGAAATAAAAAAGAAGAAAAAAAAAACTATGTTGATTTTAAATTGAATAAATATTTTTAATGTATATTGAAAAAAAAAATGTACATTGAGTTATTTTTTTTATTATAAAAGAGATTATAAAGATATAGTAAGAATTAAATTAGTTTCTTTTGAAACTTTGTTTACATCAAGATTATATCTTTCAATATTATTTTTTATGAAATTTAAATTTAAATTTAAGATTTTGAAATTTGACAAATAAAAACCAACAAATATCGATAATAATATTTTAAGTTTAAGATAATTAAATATTTTTAATGGATATATTTGTGTGAGATAATTTTAAATAAGTAATGTATCCTTTGTATTCTAAAAAGAATATAAATTAATTTTTATTTTTAAAAAATAAATTAATTTGAACAAGAACTTAAATTAAAATAAATATTTATATTTTAAAAAATTACAAATAAAATCATAATTTTAAAACTTGAATCAATAATATACTAAATTATTGAGTTAGTAGTTAAATCGTAAATTATTAATTAAATTATAAATAAAAATAATTTAGTTTTGTGTTTTTTATACACATAAACACATGTTGATTTGGTGAGTGGTGGGGTGGTTGTATAAACTCGAGGCAGCGTGCAACAACATGCGTGTAATTCATTAGTAAGAATTGATTCACACTTAAATAAGATTAGAGATTTAAATCATGCATTGTATATGCAGTCATGTTAAATTTTAGGACTAGCTATCCTATTATATCCTATCTTTTAAGATATCTCTAACATAACGAGAAAATTAATCAATGTTATTGTCGATGAATATTTAAAAGTCCAAAAAAAAAAAAAAAAAAAACTCGAGGCAGCGCGCAACACAAGACAAGAGTACATCACCAAGTTCACATCACCACGTGTCTTGGACCAGTTGCAGATGCAAAGAATAAACTTGTGTTTTACACTTCTTATAAGCAATTTTTTTAATTCTTATTTTACTTTAAATAAAATTTATTATATCACATTATTTTCTAAGCAATTCATATTATATTATTAATTTAATATATCATTAATTCATCAATAAAAATAATTAACTACATTGCACATCTAAGTTGTGTTACGAAAGAAATCGACAAGTAATAATGGTTTAAATTTAAGGTTTAAGTCTGATTAGAAATTGAATTATTTTCATCACTTTCGAATAAATTGTTTTGTATAAAATAAAAAAGCACTTTTGTCTACTAAATGTCATTTTTTAAATTTAACAAAATTTATCTCTAAAGAAAATTGTTCGAAAATAATTTAACAATTTCCAAAAGTCCATTAGGTATCGTTATCCTCGTCTTGTAAATAAATTTTCTTTTTCATACAAATTAATACATATAAATAAAAAGTATTGTGAATATATGATATTATAAAAATTAATAGAAAAATAAAATATATTCATAAAAGCAAACAAACGAATAAAGATGGGAACTACTGCTAGTGCTATTCCACCTCATCCAAAGACAAAGTGATTCGAAGTTTATACTTTTCAAATCTAAACACAATTAAAGTAATGTTAGGCATTGCCTGGAACAAAAAGGTTGTCAATCTTAATGTTTTTTTTTAAGTCTGACATGTAGTTTGTCTTTGGAGTTATCCACTAAGTTTACTTTTTTTTTTGTCATGCCAAGAAAAAACAAAGCTACTTCAGCCATTTTACCTAAAATGGGATATAATTGCTATATTTATATGTTATCATTATTTTTATGGTTTTAGTTATTTTACTTTAAATTTTATACGATAATTAATAAATATAATTTTAATAATTAAAGTTTTTTCACGACAGAAATTAAAGAATTATAAATATTAAACTTAAATAAATAAAAAACAGGAAAACTAAAACTATACATAAACTAAAACTATAATTTCAAGGATGGAGTTGAAACTAGGAATAACAAATAAACTTGTATCGATGGATAATATTAGGAGTGACAATTAATTGAACCAACTCAAAATAGTTAGAAATTTAATTAGATAATTAACTCATTAAACTAGGTTCATGAGCCAAATGAGTTAAATTTGAACTAAAGATTGAACTCTAAATAAATGTTGTGCACGGAGGGTGTAACGACCAACCATGGTTTCTATACTTAGTGGAATCGCACTACTACTAGTGAACTAAGAGAAATATTAAGCTGGATAACTCATACATACAGGTATAGACAAGAAAGAAAAAAAAATAACTAAGTTTCTGTATACAAAATAAAATACCATATATGTACAGTCATCCCAAAAATAATATGACCCTAGTGCCAGTCAAGCACAGACAAAACTGTTACCCAAAATGATAACTCTAACACGACGATCAGACTCCCCGTCTTGCAGCAGTCACCTCAACTCCAAGCTAACCCTGACCTGCTCCCACACAAGGTATGATCATTGCAGTCCATCCACATGGAAACAGAAGGGTAAGCTAGAGTTCAAAAAAAAATCAATCATACAAGTATAGAACAATAATCTATACTACACAATCATCCAACTATCAATCATATTCATAGAGTCACACCATACACTCTATCCAATACTACTCATGCATAAAATACAATCCACCAATCATGAAGCCAAACACCACACACTTCATCATATTAACAATCATGCAATAAATGCATCTCATGACAGATATCAATGCATATCAATCATCTAATTCGTCGTCACACATACACCTAGGAGATCTCCCTAACAACAAAGTTGTATAAGTGACATTCCATCCTATCGAAACCACCCCAACCGTTTTCACGCCCAATGCGCCCACTCGGTCACAGCTAAACAGGATATAATCCTCACTCGAGTTTACTCGGATGATGTCACTTACACAATTGGAAGTCTAGATCCACCGCCAGGTATAGCACAGTTGGGTACAGGCTTACCACGACCTTGGCATGCCTTTACCAAGTCAATTGTGGAGTTCGCCCACCGACTATCTGCAAGGATCCATGCACCTTCCCGAGTACTTGGTTAAGGGAATAACCCTCGACCTCATACCCCGCTCCAACACTAGCTAAGGACTTAGAGGAGACTCACCCAACCCAGTGGCCTACCTGAGTACCACTCTCCCAAATTCAGTGGCCTACTTGAGCACCACTCTCATATATCAGTGGCCTATCCAAGCACCACTCTCAAGAGACTCTATGTGAGCTCTTCCAGTTCGAAAATATTTTTCCTCTCCTCAAGTCCTAGGCTAGACTCATGCCATAAGGCATCACATGCAATTATGCATCATACATCATACATGGTCTGCCCACCATCATGATTAACAATCATACACATGTCATAAGACATCACATGCAATAATGCATCATAAATCATACATTATACATGGTCTACCCACCATCATGATCAATAAACATACTCATGCCATAAATCATCACATGCAATAATGCATCATACATCATACATGGTCTACCTACCATCATGATCAATAATCATACTCATATGAACATATATACACATGTCATATCATATTTAAACATTCATACATATCATCACTATGCATACATATGAATCACACCTCACCATACATCATATATCACACATACATGATCCAAAACTTCAATTTAACATGCATTAGCATCATTTCATTCATCAACATGTCCACGCCCAGCGCAGCCTGAACTCGCCCAACCTAATCCCAACCCGAGAGTCCTAAAACTCATCCATGCCCGGCACGTTCAACTCACACTTGGCGTGCTTGAGACAAAGACCCCTACGAGTCTCCATGTCCGACACAACTAAATCATGCCCAACCCAACATCCAAACCCGAGAGCCCTAAACTCTTCCACGCCTGGCGTGCTCAACCTACGCCCGACCTAATCCCAGTCAGAGAGTTCAAAAACTCTCATCCAAACCAACAAATCCAGCCACATGCAAACACACAAACACAATGCATAGGCTCCATACAACTCAAAATAAACTTAGATCTCACATGCATCCAACCTATGCATCAAAATCATCAAAAAACCCCATTTTTCCCAAAACCTTGAAAAATGAGTGAATTCTCCAATCCAGCCATGGATCCTCAACTTTCATACATCAATTGAGTTTCTAAACTCACATGCAACCTAAACAACAAACATTCTAGCTTCCCTCACCTGAAGATTGGCTCAAAATAGCCAATAACTAAGAAGAAGTAGAATTCTCTTCCGAAGCTTAACCCGAAAATTCAATCCTCCAAAAGCAAGCTTCCTAGCGTAAATTCATGATAAGATAGAATACATTAGTGATCTAGAGGAGGAAAAGAACCATACAGAGAAATTTGGGAGAGAAAGGAGCTCACAGACCTAGAGTCTTTCTCTCTAAAACTTCTCTCTAAAAACTTCACTTTCTCCTCAACCACACAACCCCTATTTATAGAAGTTCAAGAGTGGTCAGAACAGTCCGTTTTGAATCCAAAAAGGCCCGTTCTGAACCCCTTCATCACGTACAAAAATTACATGCAGAACGGCCCGTTCTGAAACCAGAACGGCTCGTTCTGGGACTCATCTAGAACGGCCCGTTCTCCATCTAGAACGGCCCATTCTCCATCTAGAACGACCCGTTCTAGGGTGGCACTTAACTCACAACGACCCTGTTTGGAACGACCCATTCCGAACAAGAATTTATCGGCCTATTTAGTAGTTCAGAACGGTCTGTTCCAATTTGGGAACGGCCCGTTTTGGGTTACTAAATCACTCTTGTTTT